CCATTTGACATTTCCACCTGAATGACCAAAGGATATCTCAAAACCAAACTCCTGCTTTCCATCCATCCCCCAAACAAAACAACCAAGCAGGAACCAACTGCTCCTCCCTCGTCTACCTTCCCAACATACCCTTCTCACCAACTCCACAACTACCACCCTGTCTAAGCCACTTCCATCTCCAGCAGGGATCACTGCAGGAGCCTCCTAATGGGCTGGGTGCGACCAGAGGTCCTCTGAGCCTGGGACTACAGGCTTGCGCCACCATGCCCGGCTAATTTTTTCTATATATTTTAGTTGTCCGATTAATTTCTTTCTATTTTTAGTAGAGACGGGGTCTCGCTCTTGCTCAGGCTGGTCTCGAACTCCTGAGCTCAGTTTCCAAACTTTGTTATTTGTAGGACAGGCTCCCGTTACCTGTGCTGTTGTCTCAAGTAGAGATAAAGATTTAAGAGGAATTCTTGGACAGGTGCCTGCAGAAAGAACAGTTGGGAGTGAATCTGAAAGAAGTGCAGGGTGGGGTTGCGGGTATCAAGGATGGGACATTTGAGGACAGTCACAGAGGAACAAAAGAAGCCCAACTATTAAGAAATACCAAGTTGTAGGTCAAGTGTCCCCCTCCTCAGTCAGCCTTTCTTGACTCAGCATGCAGAGTTCAAGGCCTCAATTACAAGACTGGCCACATCAGTGGATGCCTGTGCTGAGTGCCTCTCTCATGAGAATTTGAACTCATTTTGTGCCTCCAGCACCCGATGCAGCCCTTGGCAAAAGTGTGCTGAATGCATAACATGATATCATGGAAAGTGCATTAGAAGCATGGGGAGGGAGTGGCTGGTTTCTCCTGGAAGAGATAATTAAGAGTTTACATAGTACATGAGATAGAAACAAATATTTAAGTTATCCAGGAAGATAACACTGATGGCCTGGAAAGGAACAGCAGTGGTGTGGAAGGACAGAGTGCAAGGCCCTAAGAGGAGGCGGGGAAAAGCAGTGGAGGAAGTGGTGGGGTATGATACTGGGAAGGAAGCAACACAGTCAGAGAAAGAGCTTTTCTCCCTGCCCAACTGCGGTGGGTGTCCAGAAGAAATGAGGAAAACTCAGGCAACAGAAGGAAGTGCTTCACAGGATGTGGATGGGGTTGGGAGGAGGAGTTGATGGGTACAAGGACGAGGCCAGCTCATAACTGTAGTCCTTAATCTGTTCATTCCCAAGTACCATGTAAATTACCCAGCTCCAAAAAGAAGGGTAGGAGGCCCGAGGCTTACCAATCAGAGCTAAAATGGACTACTCAATGAGGTTTGAGCCAAGAAGTTAATGCGGAAGAAAGCGCAACACTGCGGAGTGATATAGGACAAAGCCAGGTTATTACTTGGGTCCTGGAGGATCCAATTAACCTCCCATTAAGTGGCGCTGGGGATTGGACTTCTCACCCTGCACCAGCCTTCCTGCCAACCCCGGCAGTGGGATTCAAGGGCATTTCGGCTAGAGGGTGGATCTTCCCGGTGATGTGGGGAGTGGACAAGCCATTCACAGTGGATACCCACCCAGCTTCGTCCTGGCCTCGAGGGGAAAACTGGGAGAAGCACGGCACATGAATGGCAACTACAACTCCTTTCCTTCCCTTTCCCTGTCCGTCACTTTCCCTGCCTATTGCTCAAGCCCTCCCCTCACTAAAGTGTACGCTCCGTGAGAGCAGGGCATCGTCCTTCATTGCCGGATGTCCAGAGCCTAGGAGGGCGCCCGGCAGCCAGTGGACGCTCAGCCAATATTAGTTGAATATTGAATGAACTCTGCTCGGTGCCACTTCACTCTACATGGGCTTTGAAGGATGCCACCAGTGGAGTCGCCTCAGCGAGTACGGGGGTTAAAGAAGAAGCGGAAGACTTTGGAGGGCCCAGGGGGTGGCCTGCGACCCCGAGTGGAGGGCCCCGCTGCGCGGTCGGGGAGGGGATTCGGCCCAAGGCCCAAGACTGCACGGTTCCCAACTGACCTTCCGGCGGGGGCGCCCGCGCGGGGCGCAGCAGCTCGGCTCCAGCGTCCCGCTCCCGCCGCCCCCCGGCGGCGCTCGGCGCCCGCTGCGCACGTAGGTCACCTGCCTCCTGGCGCCGCGCGGCGGGCCGGGCGCGGGCTGCAGGTGCGGCCCGGGCGGCCTGAAGGCCGGGGCCCGCGGGGCGCTGGGGGCCGAAGGTCGGGGCGCGGGCACGGCGCTCCGCAGCTCTGCGCAGAGCCGCAGGCCGAGCAGCAGCGCGGCGCCCAGCAGACCCCGGCGCAGGGCGCTGCAGCCCTTCCCGGGCGGCCTGTCCCGGGCCATGGCCGGCGCCGGGCCCCGGGGACGCGCTTGGGGTCCCGCGGGCGGCGGCCGGCAACAGGGATGTGGCCCCGCGGGCCCGAGCTGCCAGCTGTGGGAACTCCCCCGCGGGCCGGAGCTCGGGCTCGGACCCGCCTCCCTTCCTCCCCACCGAGGAAGCCTCGGCGTAACCTTATCCTGCCCAGCCGAGCGCGCCCTGCCGCTGGAAGGGGCGAGGGGCGGTGGGCCGGGCGCGGGCCCGGGGCTGCGCGCCCCACCCCGCCCGGGACGCAGGCGGCTGGCTGAGCGGGGCTCTCTGGAGAGGCGACCTCCAGCCCGGCCGCCAAAGCCTGGTGGAGCTGAAAGAGACAAGGCCAGAAAAAAGCGCATTCCTACTGGGATCCTGAGCCGCGACTTCATTTTCTGGTATTAGTATTGTTGGAGAAACACTGGATGAGCATAGGTGAGCTGCCAGGTGTGGCTACAATCAACAGTCAAGCAGTTTGTGCCATTAAACACAATATAAAAATAAATCGCACTTATGCTCACGTTTACAACTTCTCCCTCTCAAGAAAGAAGGGGGGCAGGGGACGAATAGAGCTCAACGCAGAATAATCAAATTAGAGTCATTCCATTTCTAAATTCTGCCTGAAGCCAATTCGTGCTTCCTTTCCACGTTATGAAATGTGTGGGGGTGAAGGAGAGAGGGAAAAAGCCAGCTAAGACATCTGACAGCAGGGAGAGAGAACAGAAGTTACCATGGCATGATGTAAATCAAATTAATTTAGCTCCAAACACACACCTCACTGCTGTCTTGCAGAGATACAGAGGGACAAATTTATCTTTCCGCAAAATGCTCCCCAGCTGGTATTTCCATCACCACCTTGACCTTAATTAATCAGACCGAACGCTCACAGCCTGAAGTCCAGTGTTGGATGTGCCATTTTCAATTGTTAGTAGAATTCTTTCCCACAACCCATTTGGTGTGAGTTTGGGTTCTAGGTTTGGGTTTTTTTTTAACTGTGATCGCATTTTTTTTTCTTTTGCTTTAACCCTTGCATTTTCCATGTTTCTGTGTGAGACTGCCCCTGTTACCTATCCTCTTTTTCCCCTTAGCCTACAGCGTGGTCAACAGAGATCAAATATGGAGGGAGCCTCACCCCCTTCCCTTTTGAATTTCAGGAATTTTCTATTGGGAACCCTCCTCTCTAAAATCCTCTTCTCTTCCTGGCTTACAAAAGACCCAATTTATCCTTTGTCACTGAACCAAGCATTCAGGCTATTTCTCTATGTGTAACAAAATTTCTCAACCCAATCTAGTCCGTTGCCTGGCCACACCAGGGCCTCAGGCTCCTGCATGTTTCATTATGATTGACTTTTGTTGTTTTCTTAGATGCAGCCTGGGGGCTATTGCACATGGGCTCTGTTTTAAGGAATCCAAACAAGTACATTTTTCCTCACACAAACTGTAAGAGACAGCAGCACATCCTGTGACTATTTACTGGAACTGTGTTTGAATCAGGACCCTGCCATTCAGGCACTGTGAAACTTCGGACAAAGAACTTAAGCTCTCTGAGCTTCAGTTTTCCTGTGCATAAACAGACCTATATAGGAGGTCTGTCTGGAAAGTACCCAGCCATGTAATATGAAAAATAGAGACATTCATTGAAGAAGATACAAGAAGCATTGTACATAGGACAGCGATGCTTCAGTCCCCTTCAAAGTAGGCACCTTGGGACCTCACACAGCTCTCCCAGCGTCTCTTAACCTTGCCCGTACATGTTCAACATTCTCAGGTGTTCTGCTTATTGCAGGCCTTCCAGAACGTGGATCACTTTCAACAGATTCTCAATCATCTTTGGAGCGTTTGTGCCACACTTTTATTTGCGCTGCACTCATTGCATCGTCCCCGAAAGCCTCCTGAATCATCCGAATAGGTTCCTCGGAGGAATATTCAAACGTAACGCAAAATTCGATGCCAATGCGTTGCTCTACGCAGTCATTTTGAATGCAATGGCCACACAGTACACATGCTCACTCTACGGCATCTAGCTCCCCACTGACTAGTACAGTGAAAGCATCACTGTTCACGCATGCGCATTCCAGTCCACGCTCCTTGGCTGCCAGGTTACGTTGATGTCGTGCAAACTGTTCTCGTTATATTAATATCAACACTGGCTGGATACTTTCCAGACAGACCTTGTATATGGTAGGTTTACAAATATTGCATAAAGTACTGTATGTATAGTAGCTAAATAATATCTGGCCCGCAGGAGATGCTCAATTAATAGTGATTATTTTTATTTACCATTAAAGAAAATCTTGGACGTTGTCATGAAAAACAAAAAGTAAACATTGCTTCTGAGGTAGGCACGCATAAGAAAGTATAAGGAGATGATAAATATCTTACATAGTATTCTCTGGAATTAGTAGTACCCAACAATTTCAAGAAAACACCATTAAGACTCAAGAAATGAACTCTATTAAGTTGTAAAATTGTGTAATGCTATTTAAGATATAATTTGTATGATGCTTGATAAACCTGGATCAGTAATGTCTGATGTAGACTTTGCTAGAGGTTTTATTTTCTATGCAGTCATCACAATGCCACTAACTAATCTTTTAAAGATCATGATACCACTAATGTATACCCTCAGCTCATCTGTTGAGTTTCTCTCCAGAGAAAAAACATGAGGAGTATCCTCATTATTAAAATGGGGACATTCACTAAGACTCTGGACTGGGAGTGGAGGATGAGGAAGGGGGTGCATCTAGAACAGTGTAGCTCTTAAAGAGAATGGGCAAGATGACCTCATATTTTCCCTTATCTCATTTCTGTGGTTCTCCAATAAAATTTTTCCATTATGGGGAAAAAAAAATCCAAATTAAATGCAATATTTAATTAAGTACCATTTTCCCTTTTGCAACTGTGTCTATGTGTTTATTACTAATAAAAAGGAGCTGTTCATATGCATTGAGTGTCACTAATTTTCTAGGAAGAAATCTCCTGTTTTTAACTTCCATGCAATATTTTCCAGTGTCGTGGACAATAATGAATAATAACTTGGGTCGGTTGGTGGGCTGGAGCGGCAAGTCTTACTGATCACTGCTGTGGCTGACAAGCAATCTTTCATTCATGACCTTTGCTTTTCTCATAGAGTTGAATGTGTCTTGGTCGTTTCTGGATATGTTTCAAAATGCAAATAATCATTAACCGCTGTGTCGTAGGTTGGTTAATTAAACGAGCAGGTCAGTAAACCACAATAGCAGCTTTCATCAGATCACAAATTACATCCTCCTTGAGCATTCAGCCAGGAAAATGAGTGAAACGGGACATTTTTACTGCTAATCTCTTAGACAACATGCATTTCAACTTGCACACATGCTATAGTGCAGTGGTCCTCAACCGGGGGTGCTTTTGCCTCCCGGGGGACATTTGGCAATGTCTGAAAACATTTTTGATTGTTATACTTTGTGGGGTAGGGGGAGGATGCTACTGGCATCTAACAGGTAGAGACCAGGGATGCTACTAGGCATCCTTCAGTGCAAAGGATAGCCTTCTACAACAAAGAATTGTTCAGCACAAAATGTCAGGAGAGCTGAAGTTGAGAAACCCTGTTGCAAGGATAGATGCTTATGTGGCAAGTTTTCATTACAGAGTGTCCAAAGAGTAAACAGAGCTGACCAGGAAGGATCCTTACCTCCGTCGAGTGGTTATTTCTTTTTCACAATGTGAAATACTCAGCCCGAATTAATCAAATTTACAAAAGGAATGAAGCTAAAATGTCCAGCCTCAATATCTTCCCCCATCCCGTCATCATCTTTCCTCTGTGTAATACATGTTCATTGTGGAAAATACACACAAGCAAAAGAAGAAATCAACAATCATTCACAACATCACAATTCAGAGATAGCTGTCCTATCAGACTTTTTTCCCTGCATATATATGTAATTTACAAAAATGAAATCATATTGTACATATTTCTGCACAGTCTGCTTTTGTAGCATAGTATGTTGTATAGTTTATGTATTAAATAATATGATGTCTGGAATTTGCTTACCAATAGCCCAGTGGGGAGGTGGGAGATAAGTGGGGGTGTAAATGAAACAAGAGTGGCTGTGAGTTGATCATTGTTGTACCTGGATGATGGGCTCACAGGTCTCTATTATGGACCATGTTTGAAGTTTTCTATAATAAAAATATCCTTGAACAGTAACCTATTGACTTATAATAGGTACCATAATTTAACCATTCTTCCACTGTGGAACAATTAGATCATTTCCAAGTTCTTATTTTTATAAACAATGCTGTGATGGGCATCTTTGTAGTTTAATCCAATGGTGTGTATGTGGAGTGTGAGAGAAAGAAAAAAGCCAAGAATGATTCCAAGGTTTTTCCTGAGTAACTAGAAGAATGAAGTTGCCGTGAACTGAGAAGGGAAAGACTCAAGTAACAATAGTTTGGAGAAGAAAATCAAGCGTCTGATTTTGGTGGTCACGTTGAGTTGGGAAGCCCATTATACATGCAAGTGGAGATGTGGAGTAGGCCATTGGCTACAATTCTAGGGAGTGGTGAGGACTGGAAATATAAATTTGAGTCATCAATGTACAGATGTGAAGTATTTGAAGGCTTAGCTCTGGGGTTCCCCAATTTAAAGTCAGGAAGATGACGAGGATCCACCAAAGGGTACTGAGATAAATAAGCAGGAAGGTAATAGAATGTAGTGTCCTGGAAGCCAAGTGAAGAAAGTATTTTTAGAAGGAAGAGACTGAGAGATCTAATAAGATGTGGACTGAAAACTCTCCATGAGATTTGGTAACACGATGCCTTGTTTATTATGTCTTCCCCAACTAGAATGTAAGCTCCATGAGGTCAGGGACTTTGTTTAAATTATTGCTATAATCTTCGTGCTTAGAACAGTACCTGGCATGTATTAATATTAATAGTATGTGCTCAATAAATAATTGTCAAATTAAAGAGTGAAGAATGAATCAAGTCTGTGTGTATTATAATTATTTTATCA